GGAGTTTGACTTCTATATTTGGGGAGGGGGGGGGGAGGGCCGCTTTGTCCCTCACAGTAGGAATCGCATATAATTCATGAATTCATATTTCATCTTTATTGTAAACTACTGAAAATAAGGTGTCCAGTTTGTTAGGGCCGTTGCATCTCCCCCCCCCCTCGTGCCGTGCCCCCCCACAAACTTCGTCCATGGCTCAGGTGATGGTTGATATGCGACGGTTTTTTAGATCCATAAAAGGTTTTTTTGGGTTAGATCTATTATTGAAAATATTGGTCACGAAAGCCTACGCGTTAAACTGGTTTAAGCCCACTTCACTGAAAATTTTATTTAATTTAAACAAAAATCTTGATTCGCTTCTCTTAACCTGGCTGCCGACTGCAGGGCGCAAGGTGCCACAAAGCATGACGTGTTCTAAATTCCACAGCATGCACCGAACCCCACGTGTTTGAATACTACCACCGCCCCCCCCTGCTCCCACAGTGCACCGCAGCTTTGTGACATTGCTGAGAGGGGGTTACGAGGCGGTGGTTGACCTTGTTGTTGGTGGAGGTGCACGGACTACAGGTGCGCAGGGAGATAACCCCGGGCTCTTAATCACCTTTGCCATGGATGTGCACGGATGTCTCGACTGTGCAAGCAACGTTGGTGCAATAATAGCCAACGACAATTGCTCTTATCAGCCCCCCTCCCCACCCCTTCTACATTTATCAATAACAATGCGATATCGAATTAATCTTCACTTCGCGACGATGTCCCCGTGAAAATAAGAATCATTAGCATCGTCTTGGAGAACATAAGTAACAAAATATTTTAGCGGCCTCGATGGTTTCTTTGATGTGTTTCTCCACGAATGAATATAAAAGTGGTTTAAAATATTAAATACCCAAGCGACTAGTATTCAGATTTAAGGGCGTGCGTCATTACTTTATCATGTAACGACCTTGCTTATGCACTTCCCTATTGTGCGTTCTTTTGTTGTTCAAATTTTCTCAACTTGCTCCGCTGCCCGTCCTATTCATTGTGTGTAATGGATACATTTCAGAGGGCGCCCCGCACCTCAGCAGATGCTTGTAACAAGGGCCAGCTCGGCCTCGTTTGTCGCAGCCCGAATGCATCCAAATGCATTTGTCTTGCTCGGTAAGGCATGCAGGCGCTGGAGGGCCACGTGCTTCTAAAAACAGAAGTAGGGGAGAGGGCATGGGGAGTTTGAGGTCCCTCCTCCCCGCTTACCTCACTCTCATTCCGCCCTCCTCTCTCTCCCTCCTACAGCTCTCTCATTCACCCCTCCCATGTTGCAGTCTCGTCCTTGACCAATCAATCCCCTTGGCATATAATTCTGCATGTTTAATTTTTTTCTGGGGGTGGAATTAGAGCCCTCGCCATTCCCGAAAACGTTCGTCTCCGGCACCAATTTTTTTTATTACAATAAAAGCAATCCGCTTGAGTGTTTTACGTGACATTGAGACATTGCTTTTGGCCATTTGTTGTAATCCCGATATGCTAAACACGCCCGTCCTCTTTGATGTGATTGTGTCTGGATAAAATAGCAATACCCTTTGCTAGCCTCCAATTCGAATTCTTATAGCTCACCGATAAGTCGAGGAGCAGTTCTCACAGTCAAATAAATGTATAAAGGATTAATCCTAAATTTGTGAGAATTGTTCTTTACATTATGTTAACGTGTGCCACCTTTTGTCTTTCTCTCTGGAAGGCGGGAATTGTAATTGCTGTTCACGTGTTTATTTCGTATCAACTTACCCCTGACTTCTTGGTTCTTTCGGTAAAGGACAGCTGCTTGCGTTGTGGCCGAAACGTCGTGAGAATTATTTTATTATGTTCGATTTTTATTATTTTATTATTTCCATTCTACGTGACTTTACCGAAAGAACCAAGAAGATGAATCCCTGCAGTCACGAAAACTTTAAATCGAAATTTACCTCCGACTGTGACACACATGGGCAAGTCGATGATAATCGCATGGCCAAGGTCTTTCGTATCGCTGAGATAGATTCTCGCCCACCACATCTCGACTTTCTCTTATCGAGCCTCTCCACCGCGTTCTTCGCCGCTTGTGTCAGCTCGACACGGGGTGCAGCCAATACCAACACCCGCCATTCGCCGCCAGTGACGATGACGTCCCCACGGCGCCTGTGCCAGGCCACGTGCACTTCGAGGCCACGTGAAGTATCGAAGGCTCGCTGACAGAAGGGGACAGACCCAGGTGCCATGGGTTGGCTGACTGAGATGACTGATAGATGCACCAGCTGTACCCCCCTACTGTGCCAGCTTGCTGCTTTTTAGACACCCGGCACTCCGCTCGATGTTTTGAATGTCGCTCCTCTGCCCTCCGTTGTTGCTGGAGGGCGACTGCCTCCAACCAGAGGTCGCAACCGGGTACCCGATACCCGTACCCTACCCGATACCCGGCTACGCGTACCCGGTCGGGTACGGGTACCCGTTTGCGACCCTGGTGCGGGCGGGTACGGGTATGGGTAGGCCGTGAGTCACTGGTGAGTAACCGTTTGTCACTCATTTCCCAACGTCTTGCCTCTTTTCACAATTCAAGTTCCTAGAATCAACCCACCCGCGCCTGCAACATGGCTTCATCCCAGAGGTCGCAATCAGGTACCCGATACCCGTACCCTACCCGTACCCGGCCGGGTAGGGTACGTGTACGGCCGGGTACGGGTACCCGTTTGCGACCCTGGTGCGGCCGGGTACGGGTAAGGTATCAAAACCCGTTTGCGACCTCTGCCTCCAACTGCCCAGTAGCAGCGTCCTATGTAACTTTGGCGCCCCCTGTCGTGCCAAAGTTACATGGCCGTTAAATTATGTGGTCAAATAATGATTTGATGTTTTCGTGACTGCAGGAATCCATACTCTTTGGTTCTTTCGGTAAAGTCACGTGGGTATAAAATAAAAGAAATCACGACGTTTCGATCGCAACACAAGCAGTCGTCCTCAGGCGGAAAACATATAATCCAGCAGTGGAACTGCTGACTTTACCGAAAGAACCAAATAGTATATTCTTGGTTCTTTCGGTAAAGTTACGTAGAAGGGAAATAATAAAAGAAAATATATAACAATAAAATTCTCACGACGTTTCGACTGCAACACAAGCAATCATCATCAGATGTGAAATCCACAGCAAGAATTTTTTTTTCAAATTTTCTTGCTGTGGATTTCACACCTGATGATGATTGCTTGTGTTGCAGTCGAAACGTCGTGAGAATTTATATTGTTTTATATTTTATTATTTCCCTTCTACGTGACTTTACCGAAAGAACCAATAATATGAATCCCTGCAGTTACGAAAGCTTTAAATCAAAACCAAACAGTAGGTAAAATCATATTTACCTATGTTAGTAACATAACTTTCGCACAAATGCGCCTTGTGATGATTAGTTTATGGACTATGATGTACAGGGCTGCTGAAATGGAGTTAATATTTGACTTAACTAAAATTGTAAAAATATTTTACCCGGATAATCCATTGAAATCTCCTTTGCAAATAATCGATGTATTGCAAACCCGTAATTATCGCTTGTATAAACATTTTATAATCCACAACTTAATCGAGTATAAATTAATACAATACACTGAGACAATCACTGCATTTAGAACGATCAGTTTGCAAAAAACATTGCTGGCTGAAATTGTCGTGTGAAAGTCAAGATCAGATGGCTGTCTGAAGATATTTTGAGACGATTTTCTGTGAGAATCTCTGCCCAATGCTAATATTTACACACCACATTGCGTTCCTATTTAAGCAAATTATTTTGAAAATACGAAAAAGTGCTTTGCAAAAGAGCCCTTTCCCAGAACATAACCTCTTTTATATATATACTTTTCAGAGCAGTGGGTTGCTGACGGACATCTTGTTGTTGTTGAGCGTTTTGTTAATTAAGGCCGAGTTAACCTAGACGAGTTCTAGTACAGATTCAAGTGCCGCTTGCTGCTGATTTTACTGGTAGGAACCTCCTGGTTACACCAGCCCACAGGGGATTATTGTGTCCGTCCGTCGTGCAGGGAGGGGCTGGGTGGGGAGGGGCTGGGTGGGGTGGGGAGAGTGGGGAGGGGCTGGGTGGGAAGGCTGGGGAGGGGCTGGGTGGGGAGGAGTAGGGTGGGGAGGGGCTGGGTGGGGAGGGGCTGGGTGGGAGGGGTGGGGCTGGGTGGGGAGGGGCTGGTCACCCCGTGGTGCCCTTATAAAACTCAACGTTTAACCTACTCACGCCGGCTTGTGCCCGCCCTCAGTCGGGCATATTTGCGGAATACACCACGCCGCCGTTGACCCTGGCCATTGACCGAGCAACCCAACGCTCCTACCAGCTCCCTCTGCAGGAATGTGTTAATTATGGAATGGAATCTGACTTGGGTCACTGGGTTCATAGTGCAGTGCACGAACCACTGCGCTACCGCACCCCACAATGCACACGTGTGAGGTCAGTGTTATGACTTTCCTCTCTGAGGAGGCCGACTTGCGAAGAAATGAAGCTGATAAAAATGTGCACTGGTTGAGCAAATATTTGCGCGAAAAAATACACAGTGCGGTACGTATGACATCTTAGTTGAAATAAGCTTTGGTGTTAACGGTGTTCATTGTTAGCAAGTTTTGTTTGTAATTTTGTGGTTTCAAACTGAATATGTAGAGTATGGAACTTGTCTGAAGATGTCTACCAAGGTGATTGAGCGATTAAATCTGTTCACGTGCTGGTGCTTGGTGGTTTGATACAGTGCAAGTTTTGTGAGAGGTGTTAGCAGCTTGGAGAGGCCTTTATCTAGCAGTCGGTTGACCATGGCTAATGGTGTAAAGCAGTGGTTCTTAACCTAGGGTGTACGCACCCCCTGGGGGTGAGAGACGTGCCACACTTTGTTTAGAAGGTAAATCATCGAATTAAGCACGGACACGTAGGTACGTAACTACTTTGTTTCATCAAACCCATGTATTTATTTATTTACTTTATACATTTTTAACGATTGTGTTTTTTTTTATTCCACAGAAGGAAATTCAGCTGCCAACTCGGCCTGACCACATCTACATTTGAAGAGTCGCAATCAACAAACATAACAAAAAATACAACTTTTATACCATCGAAGACCAATATATAACAAAATATATCATATATCTCTAGGAAAACTCCTTTACGTACAACAGAAGCACAAACTTTACAAGTCAAAACAATAGTTCATTGTTTAGTTGCGTGGGGTGAGCCGCGGTCATGGCAGAAGCCCATCAGGCTGTGGCCTTCCAGTTCACGGTGACCCCGGATGGCATCGACTTGCGGCTTTGCCATGAGGCGCTCAAGCAGGTGTGGCTGTCGGGGGCTCGCAACTGGAGACGCCGCGTCACCTCCATCAAGGTACCTCCTCTATCCTCCATCCTCTGCCTTCCCTGTCTGCACCAGTAAACATATGGCAGCTCCTGCGTTTGCTGTGCCCTAGACCTGCCTTTGCTTCACATTGTCATCGTAATCATTCCAATGCCCAGCTGCACTGTTTTTCTTTTTAGCCTAGGGGAGTCCCTGATGGCAGCTGTCCCTGTGTGGCACAAGGTGACGTGGCACTGGCCTGCGGGCGTGCATTAGCCTTGTCAGCAGGGGGGTGATGGGTCTCGCGATCGGCATGTCTTCTCCGAAGATGTCACTATGGGCACCTTCACGAGTTGAATTGGATTACAAGCCGTTGCTAAAACGTTTGTGTTAAGCGTGGGGCGATGTTGAGATTGATTATTCCAATTAAGTAATCTGTAATTTTTCAAACACGGGAAATTTAGACCATGACGCCTTCACACTTGGCCTCTACTTTTTTGAAAAAGTGACGGGTTTTTTTTTTCACATCCACTGTGATGCAGACGGTGAATATTAATTCTCGATACACATGCACTTTTAACAAGTGCAGCTAGGAGAATGAACCACAAACCTTTGCGGCAAGCGACAAACGCACTGCCACTGAGCCGTGTCCTGTTTCGCTCTCCTCTTTCTATCCCTCAGTTTATCTCGTACTTATCGTGCCTAATCTGCCCTGTCACATTTCCAAAATATTGTCCTTCCTTGCTAGGTCTTACCACTTTGTCCTCTGCACTGTTTTTCCACCTCGCACTCTACCACAACCACCGCGATCGCTGTTATCTCTTGATTATTCCTGGATGGATTGTCAAAATTGTGCTTGTGAAATAAGCAAATTAATATTTCCCCACGCAAGCTCGTGTAACTATTTATTACTTGGTCCTCGCTCGTTAATTACTCGGTCCACATGACCACAAACACGCCGGCAATTAAACTCTTTACGTCAGGGAAAAAACAATCGATCGCGCCTTCTGCGTATTCACCTACCGCTCTGTTGGTAAATGATGAATGCGATTTTATAGCCTAATTTACAATTGTTTGCATAATCCATGTTTTTTTTTTTCCTGTGAACTTCACTCTTTGATTCCGCCTCCCATATTGAGGACTCGGTCTACCAGACGGCCTATTTCCTCTCGTCTATACTGTGTTCAACCACCGTGCTGCAGGTCACAATGCTCTTCTGATTCTTCCCTCGCACTGCTCGACTTTGGAATTCCCTCCCTTCGTCTTTTTCCTCCCCCCGAGTTCCTTTGCCTTGCTCAATTCAAAAAGCTTGTCAACTCTCTACCGACAAATGTCGGTATACTGTTCGTCGCTGGCTGAGCGGCGTTTTGGGAAATTTGGCCTGTACTTGGCAGCTTTGCTTTACACATATAAACATGATAAACATGTGGGACAGATTATCGAGAGTTGACTATACATTATACTTTTCCCTGCCCTGTTCTACCCCACAATGCTACCCTGTCCTGCCTTGCCCTTATTTGTATCCGATCTTGCACGCCTTGTCCAACGCAACTGTTTAAATTTATACAATAGTGTCTAAATGCAAGACATTTCGCAGACTTTTAATATACATTGGGGCAGATTTGAGGCGGGTTGGGGGGCGGGGCAGGAGTCGGGGCAGGGAAACATGGGAGGAGAAAAACGTAATGGCACAGCCTTGAAGAAGCAATCGGGGCCCAGCACCTCCAACAACAAAAACAATGAGCCCCAGGGTCCACTGGAGTAGCCAAGGTAGCACCAACTTGCTCCTGGGGGAGGGTTGGCATACTAGTGAGTGCTAGGACCCATACTCTTAGGTTTTTTCGGTAAAGTCACGTAGGTAAAAAATAAAATTAACAAAAGTACTTGATACAGCTGTCGTGGCTGTGACGGTTCCACCTGAAGACAGAGGCTTGTGTTGCTTCCGAAACGTCGTGAATTTTTTAATTTGTTTTATTTTAGTTTTATTAATTTTAATTTGTTTTTACCTACGTGACTTTACCGAAAAAAGCTAAGAGTATGAATCCTTGCAGTCACGAAAGCTTCACATCTAGAATTAGTGCTAGGACCCTTCACCAGTGAGTCGCAGGGAATTCTTGGGGGTGTCGTTCACCAATAAGTCGCAGGGATCGTCTGTCGGAGGCCGAGGCCCTTCTGCAATGAGTGCCAGGCGAAGGCAAGGGAAGCACCATCGACAAGTTCCAGGGTGGCCCTGGTGGTAGACGATGCCCGGAACAAGAGGCGACAGGGTTGAGGAGTGATGATGCGGAGGAGAGGTCCGGAATGGGTTGGGCGCAAGTGTGGGAGTTGGTCCGAGAAATAGGGAAACGGAGGGGAGGAGCCGAGAGAGTTGGGTTTGGGCAGCGGCAACACCATTGGTGGACAGCCGTGTCAACCCAAGGACCGGAGGTTGGCAGCTGGAAGGCCTTACCCACGCTTCTACATTGTTGTCTGATTACCCTCAAACATGTTGAATATGCATGTATGTGTGTATGTGCTCCCGTGGGCCACAGAATACCGTGTTGACAGGGCTGTACCCTGTGCACCCATCGAGCTGGATGGTGGTCGCCGTCGGCACGATGGGAAGTGTGTACCTGCGCGTGGACCCCTCGATGGGACTCATCGCCCGGATCCGAGATGCCCTCCCCAACGGGTACAACCTCTAAACCGCACACACCGGTCTAACATCCAGGTCCACACCCGCGCGATCAGTTATGCAACCAAATCGCTTTCAAAATCGCCTGTAACTTATCGTCACCAGGCTTGAATTATTGACAGGCCTACTGTGCACGCTCGCCTCTGTGTTTGCGTTTGTGTTTGTTTGCCCTGTGTGTTGCGTACATGCTTTGTGTGTCTGCCTGTGCACAGTGGCCTCATTTCGCCACACAACAAGGAGATGCTGAGCGCGGTGCTGTTTGCTTCGGGCCTGTGGGGAGCCATCATCCTAACCATGCGCTACACACTCAAGGGTCTGCTCACCTACCATGGCTGGATGTTCCAGCCCCACGGACGCATCTCCCACGCCACCAAACTGTGGATTGTGAGGCTCGCCGAGACCACTTCTTTCGCACTCCCACGGAAACTCGACCAATGAACGAGTGCCGCACATGGCGCGATCGGCCATTACACGCAACGTAATGTTGAACTTTATAATCTTCGATTTAAAGCTTTCGTGACTGCAGGGATTCATCTTCTTGGTTCTTTCGGTAAAGTCACGTAGAATGGAAATAATAAAAATAAAACATGATGAAACAATTCTCACGACGTTTCGGCCACAGGTCTGTCCAGAAGACAGAGTCTGACTCTGTCTTCTGGACAGACCTGTTCTTCACCTGAGGACGGCTGCTTGCGTTGTGGCCGAAACGTCGTGAATTGTTTTATTATGTTTTATTTTTATTATTTTATTACTTCCCTTCTACGTGACTTTACCGAAAGAACCAAGAAGATTTATAATCTTCCTGATTTGGAATCGCTTAACACCCTCTGCCGGAAGTTGATAACTGTGGCTTGGGAATCATGATGCACCCCCTTGTCAGAGGTATTGAGTCTATACTGCTGATGATGCCATGTTCAAATCCTCTGGTACTCGATGTCGACGGCCCCCTCTGGCCTTACATTTTCATGGAATAATAATAATGACATTACGTGCCAGATGTTGACCAGATAGATAGGCCTTTAGATGTTTCTTAAAAGTCAGTGCATTTAACCCTTTGCATATCCGCAACATCAGAGTTCCACACCGAGGGGGCGACAACAGAGAATCGGCGTGAGAACTAAATGCTCTAACGGTACACATCTCTCCGCTTGCACTCGTCCAATCGGGTCTCTACCGTTCTCCTGTCCTTATATACACGCTGCGGAGAGTTTGTTAATGTTTGCATGCCTTGGTGTAATCATGGCCCTTTGTCTGCGTGCTTCCTGCAGCTGATGGTGAAGATCTTCTCCGGTCGCAACCCTCACCTTTACAGTTTCCAGTCGTCGCTGCCCAGGCTGCCCGTGCCGTCTGTCCACGACACCATGAGTCGCGTACGTGTTACGCTTTGATTTGACCATTCACAGCCGAGTACCCAAGTACGCACGTGGATATGTGTAAATACTTGTGCGAATGCATGTGGGGAACAATGCCACCGTGGTTAGCACGTTGCGCTATGAGCCCATCAACCCAGAGTTCAGTTCCCGTTCATGGCAAACTTAAATGGTGAATATCTGAACTGGTCCCGAGCCTTCTTGAGGTCAACTCGACCATGAATGAGTACCTGGTGTGGTGTATTATACATAAGTTCTGGGGAGCCAAAGTCGGCCAGGTGTGGCACTGGCGTGGCCGCGACCACCCTCGTTCATGCACTGGCGATGAAATCCAGCGATGAAGAATGAGTCTTAGGCCAACGTGATAATGTCACACACTCCCCCGTGACATCATTACTTGTGATGTCGCGCGTAATGATAACATGAGATGGCATCCTGTATTTTTAGCGGGAATTTTCAACTGCTCACAATCTGAGGGGATTGCCAGTGTCCTACCCGAAGTGAAATTCACTTTATGTTGTTGACAGCCTTTGCACATTTTAGTAAATATCCTGCAAGCTTTTTTCTGTTTATAAAGACGTTTTGGCCATTGTATATGAAGTCATCGGCATATTGCGTAATCTATAACCTTACTCAATTCATGAACCTTGTTAACTCTTAATGTGACAACATTGATAATGTCGTTGCTGCTGGCGGTTTGACGTAGACCTTTGGGCCTGTGCTCAGCAACTGTGTTTACATTTTTTTAAATAAATACCTGGTATGTATGCATGCATAATACTTAGAGCAAAGCGTAGTACTCGGATAATACGTCGACAAAACAACTGAATAGCTAAATCGCTTCGAGCTGAATCTCCAATTGTACCTCCTTCATTGGCCGTGCGAAATCACAATTTGGAGCACACTCGTTCGGAGTGTTTCTGTAGCGCTCGAAAGTGACTGCCGGGTCTACTTTGCGCACCACACAGTACCTGGAGTCGGTGCAGCCCCTCTTGGACGAGAAGAAATTCCAGCGCATGGAGGGACTTGCGCGCGACTTTGAGAAGAACCTGGGCCCCAAGCTGCAGTGGTACCTGAAGCTTAAGTCGTGGTGGGCCTCAAACTACGTGAGTCGTGTTTTTTTTTGTTGCCGTCCACCTCAACCGTCGCGCAAACGTTTTGCCGCAACTTTGAAAATCTTCTTGGTTCTTTCGGTAAAGTCACGTAGAATGGAAATAATAAAAATAAAACATGATGAAACAATTCTCACGACGTTTCGGCCACAGGTCTGTCCAGAAGACAGTCTGACTCTGTCTTCTGGACAGACCTGTTCTTCACCTGAGGACGGCTGCTTGCGTTGTGGCCGAAACGTCGTGAGAATTGTTTTATCATGTTTTATTTTTAGTATTTTATTACTTCCCTTCTACGTGACTCTACCGAAAGAACCAAGAAGATGAATCCCTGCAGTCACGAAAGCTTAAATCGAAATTTAACTTAGAAAATATATCAAAGGGTAAAAGTGCAGCACTGCAATTGCTTTTTGCTCACGTCGCTGATCGTGTAGAAGGGCCTCTGCTTGCGGGAGTTTGAGAGGGCACCTAGAGCGAGTATTTGACCTACTTGATACAGAAATTTTGCTGTGACGGTTTCACCTGAAGACGGAAGCTTGTGTTGCCTCCGAAACGTCGTGATTTAATTTATTTGTTTTCTTATTTAACCTACGTGACTTTACCGAAAAAACCAAAGAGTATGAATCCTTGCAGTCACGTAAGCTTCAAATCTAGAGTTATTTTACCAACTCTTTTACGCTTGCTTGGATGTCTTTTGAATAGGTGGGAAAATACACACTTTGCCCATTTGACTATTTATGTATGTATATACAGGTAGTCCTCTACTTAGGATGGAGATGCGTTACGACGACCCCATCGTAAGTCAAAAATATCGTAAGTCGAAGATGGCCTCGCCTACCCAGGAGTGGTTAAAGAATGGTGATAATTTAGCAAAACAGCAATTTACAGTACCGTACTGTATAAACTATATACTGTATGTATTTATTAATTACAATACTGTATTGCACAGTAAAATGTAAAGTAAAAAAACAAGGTAAATTCGTAGCCTACCCATATGAACTGCAATTTAATAGAAAGTTTTTTTCAGGAAACAATCCTATCTGCTATAAAAACGTTTAACATGCATTGAACGTATCGTATCGTGGTAACCTTAAAATGAAATCGCCAAAGCTACGTATCACACATGCATTGAACGTGTCGTAACGTATCATATTGTACTGTGCTCACCAAGATTCTGTCTGTCGTCTGCATACTTGAACGATGTTAGGTTGTTGATGGCAATTTTGTCATATCGCCATCGTAAGATCGAAATATCGTAATTCGGGGACTACCTGTATATTGAACTTCTTTTGCACCGTACGTAGTCAACCGTGCACATTGGAGATGCTCCTTAAAATATTGCTGTAAGTTGTCTATTAAAGCAAAGTATACAAAACAGGGCTTAGAGATCGTGGTTTTGACTGGAATATCATGGGGCAAGGTTTAGTAAATCGGAGCTGTTTACATATCTAGATCCAAATCAAACTTTTCAAAGATAATAAACCACAAGTTTAATATTAGTATTACTTTTATTTAGCCAGGAATGGCCCTCACTGAGTCTCAAGACTCTTCTTCAGGAGGGTCCTGCCGCGTATATGTGCAGTAGGAGTTGACGTTGTTGTGTGTAATCCCAAGATTGAGTATTTTAATGTAATCTTGCAGTATTGGGACGTTTAGCCAACACCAGTCACATTCTGTGTGCGAATACCCTGTGAGAAACCATGTTAGAACAAAGGGAGAACTCTCAAACTCCCCACAGAATGGGGCACCCAAGTCAGAAATCAAACCCATGCACTTGTTGCTGCGAGGCGTAAGTGTTACCACTGCGTCCTTCCTGCCCCCCCCACCCCCGTTGAAAAAATCACGCGTATGTGTTTTGTTTTGCATGTACCGGTGTTTCTTGTCACAGGTCAGCGACTGGTGGGAAGAGTACATCTACCTGCGTGGGCGCGGACCCATCATGGTCAACAGCAACTACTACGCCACGGTAAAGATGCGGTGGAACCACAGACATCCAAGATCCTAGTTTTGAAGTTTTCGTGACTGCAAGGATTCATACTCTTTGGTTTTGAACTCCAATCGTTGCTCGGGGTACACAACGCGACCTCCCAGCCCACACCCCTCCCCCCATCCCCCCGCGACTATATAATTACTCGTCACAGCCACCTCTGAGACACACTTAAGCGGTTGTGCTTTCACCAAGTTGTTCCCACCTAAAGAAGGACGCTTGTGTTGCGCCCGAAACGTCGTGATTTATTTTATTTTTTTACCTACGTGACTTTACCGAAAAAACCAAAGAGTATACATCCAAGATCCTTTGTTTCACACAATTGCAGTATATGGGACGTGACCGGGGGAGGCTCTCCTCACATCATTACACCGTCTTCACGAGCTTTTGCTGTAAAGGACAATTTGCATATCATATCCTGTACTTGCAGTTTATGAAAGGAAGCCAGCGGCACTCTTAACATGAGCGCACGCAAGGCTTTTTCACACTAAAAATTGTGGATTGAGGCAGTGTTTACCCCTTACGGAGCCACCTTCTGCATCACCCAAGTTATTTTTGTTGTTTAATCATGAGAGGTTAGCCAAAATGTATTCCACCATTTTTGGCAACCGTTCCTAACTCATCCGATTAAAGTAGTGTTCTGTGTATGAATGGTGTTGGCGAGTGGATTGTAGCATGTGGCTGTGTGTGCGTGCTTGGATGTGTGCGCGCGAGTGTAGCGGTTAGCACGCTGCGCTACGAACCTGGTAACCCGGCTTTGATTCTCGTTCACGGCCAACACCAGTGACGATAATATGAACCAGTCCTGGGCCTCCCCTGAGTCGACTCGGCCTAAAAAATGTAGTACCTGCTACGGTGTGTAAACATTTCCACTGGGGAAGCAAAGGTGGCTGGGTGTGGTGTTGGGCCACCCACCCCTCGTGTGCCGTCCTGACCTTCATCGGTGTTTGCTGACAGTATGTGCTCCTACGGTTTGTTAAGGCTATACGGGGGGGGGTCTTTTATGCTCGTGCACAGGATTTTCTCTACGTGAAGCCTACGACCGTGCAAGCTGCCCGCGCGGCAAACGTCATTCACGCCATGATGCTGTACCGCAGGATGCTGGACCGTGAGGAGGTTAAGCCGGTAAGACGCTGGGCGGTGGCGGCGGCGGCTTCGAGATTCTCATAAAACACGGCACAGGGCACACATTTACAAGCTTACGTTTATGCTCGCAGACATATAAGCAGCGTGCTTTATTTCGGACAGAAAACTCCTGAATGCTCTTCCAGGATTCATATTTTCATGCCTTGACAATCTGGCCTCATTTTGTCCCATCCAATGTTTTGTAATAGACCTGTTCATAGGATTTTAGGAATATAGGTTACAATAATATAGGGTTATTATGGGCAGGCGGTCCTTGGGCTTCAGTGGTAGTTTGTGCCTTACATCGCTAATCGCTGCTGCAAACCAAGCCTAGCAGTGTTAAAAAAAAACTATAGAGTGGGAAATGAAGCCGTTGAGTAATACTGAACATATGATTGTACACATTCACACGTGCCCGTACGCTAATCGTGGCAAAAAAAGTCCGTGTAGCCATTTATAGAACGCAAGGCAAGATGTGTACAAGTACATTTTTTACGAGCGAATTGCCGAGCATGAATGTGCAAAGTTCAAGCGTGATGGTTGAGTCACTGACGGGTGTTGTTATTGCGATCGATGATGCAGATGATGGTGCAAGGAGCCATTCCAATGTGCTCGGCACAGTACGAGCGCATGTTCAACACGACACGGATACCTGGCATTGAGACAGGTGTGTGAGTGTGTGCACGCGTGCTTGAAAGCGGTAACATCGTGGTTGGTGTGCTGTTCTGTAAACTCTGCTTCCTCGGTTCGACTCTCGGCTAAGGCCAACGTTAGTAGCGAATATCCGAACCGGTCTTGGGCCTCCCCTAGATCCGCTCTGCTTTAAATGAGTACCAGGTACTATGTGTAATGGAATTTCCACCGCTGATTCGGAGCTGTGAAAAACGGGTGACGCGCACCACCTCAATGATCATTCGAGCAGGAAATCGCTCGGACTTGTTTCTTGACTATCCTCGTCCTTTGACTTGTCGCCTGGTTAAACAAATCAACTCAATTTCCTTCGCACCTTCCAACGCTTCCTCTGCAGACGTGCTCGAGCACAGGAACGACAGCAAGCACATGTGCGTGTACCACGCTGGCCGCTTCTACAAGGTCTGGCTCTACTTGGGCGGGCAGCTGCTGGGCCCGCGCGCTCTGCAGGAGATGCTGCAGCGCATTCTGGATGACCCCTCGCCCCCGCAGCCCGGAGAGCTGCACCTGGCCGCCCTCACCGCGGGGGAACGGTTAGCAAAACCCCCTGGCCCAAGCCCTCCATCACGCCTTCCATCCCCTGACGCCTGTATATTTGGAGTTTGCATGTTCTCCCAGTGGTCGTGTGGATTTTTCTTCGGCCCTCCAGTTTTTCTCTCCACATTTCGAAACATGTGTTTGGAGTATTTGGCTGCTATAAATCTCCACGAAATGAGCCGCTTAATTGGGTGATGATTTGTGGCCAGGTCGCTTCTGAAAAGAGCTTTTGTAGCTCAGTGGGCCTTAACTGGTAAAATAAAAAATAGTTAAATTTGTATCGTTTCTTAGCGCCACGTTCTCTCTCTATCCCCCATGATGTTGGAGCTGTTCGTGCCGTTCCTGTGTCCGGGCACACGCGTGTGCAGTATCCCGTGGGCAAAGGCTCGCTCAAGCTACTTTTCAGAGGGCCGCAACTTCACGGCGCTGCAAGCGGTGGAGAAAGCGGCTTTCTTCATCTCGCTGGACGACACGGAACAGGGTTACCGGGATGACAGCTCAGGGTCGCTTGACGACTACTGCAAGTCACTGCTGCATGGAAAATGCTACGACCGGTGAGTACAGGGAGTGAGCTGTCAGAATAAATTGTATCATTATTAATGTTCACATTCATCTCCATCTGTCGTATCCAGTCTGTTCGGGAATTGAGTGTTATCTCGCTCGCACGCGTGGACTTTCTCCAGTTAGTTCGGTTTCCTTCCACGTGTATACACACGGAATAAGGAGCATAAACCATTACACGAACTCCGGTAATCCTCGCAGCGGCTTTTGGCTAGCCATCGGACACGGAGGGTCGGGGTCACTTCATCGTGCACTTTCAGATGCGCTTTTGCGGCCGTCTGAAACGCTCTTCCTTCCGATATTAGGAAGCCCCTGGAGCTATGCGCTTCTACCTCTACAGTAAAACCTTGGATTGCGAGCATAATTCGTTCCGGAAACGTGTTTGTAATCCAAAGTACTCGTATATCAAAGCACTGGTATATCAGTTGTGATCACGTGACGCTCGGCAGACAAAGCGTATGCACGCACTACTCGTATTGCAAGACCTCGCTCGTTTATCAAATTAATATTTATTTAAAAATTTTGCTCGTCTTGCAAAACACTCGCAGACTACGTTACTCGCAATCCAAGGTTTTACTGTATATTTAAAACTAACTTCTATAGAACTGCTTTTTGTGTTTAGTTTGTTGTCCTTCCCCTGAACCTCCGATGAATGGAGTTGTGGGGCCACCGGTTCTGGCTGCCTTCCTGCTTATCCGGTTTCCCCAAGCCATTACGAACAAATTGGCGTGAGAAAAATCATTGTGCTTATTTTACAGGTGGTTTGACAAGTCCTTCACGGTCATCGTGTTCAAGAACGGCCGCATTGGGCTCAACGCGGAGCACTCGTGGGCCGACGCCCCCATCATGGGCCACCTCTGGGAGGTGAGTGGTCATCGCAACCCGTGTGTGTGTGTGCATGGAAGAGGGTAAATAAAATGTGTGTCGTTAACCCTCCTCCACCCGACACGGCCAATCGAAGAGAGTTGTCACGTGATGAACAAATGCAGCCAATTTGATAATTGGTTTTTTACCCCTTTTATCTGGCAACAAAACTGACACCCAGATGACGCCTTTTGGCGTCATCTGGTCCAACACCATGTGAGACTAGGCTCTAAGGAAAGCCGTCTCGGGTGTGGACCAATCAACTTCAAGGACAGTGCATACATTATCAGAGTTATGTTTTTTGTTTGCATTATGACTGCAGGTATTGTGGTCTATGCAAACATGACTCCTTGTAAAAAAGGTGTCAGTTTTGTTGCCAGATAAAATGGTAAAAAAAACAATTATCATATTTTTTACTGGCAAATGAGGTTCCAATGGTGCAGCCAATTTATTACTGCTTCAGCAGCACCACCGGTGTGTTGTTGCGGAGCAATCTGACAACAAGGAAATAGGCACGGAATTTTGTTGGTAGTTACAACCAGCATCATCAGGTAGCAGACAGTAACCGGATTGAGACTATGCACCTGTTATAAAATCCATTGTGATGCTTCGTGCTTCTCCAGAAAGGCTTGCCTCGCTTTGCCACTGCCTGCGTGTGCATGTCCCAGTATGTGCTCGCCACAGACACGTTCAAGTTGGGCTACACGGAGGAAGGGAACTGCCGAGGGGAGGTTGGATCCCTGCCGCCCGTACAGCGCTTGCAGTGGGACATAACAGCTGAGGTTTGTTGTTGTCTGCGTTGCAGTCACGAAATCGTTGTCAGCCGTGGTCAATCCACTGCTGGGGCGAAGGGCTCCCCAATCTGCTGCCACCTCTCATAATCCTGCGACCTAATCGTCCTGCGCACGGATCGATTTAATTTTCTCCATCTCCTTTGGACATCCTCTTGAACACGTTCGATTCCTTGGCTGCCGCTCTGTTGTTATTATTTTTGGCCATCAACCGTACGTTTTATTGACATTTCCTGCCCAAGCCTGCTTACTGTTCCTAATAGTTTGGAAGATTCCGTTAACCTCGGTGTGTCGCAGCGATATGGCGGGCAGCATAGATGGTTCATCTGCCAATCATCTTGGTCCGTTAACCTATAACGCCCTTCGTCTGTCCAGTGATCTCCTGCAAGCGAGCCGTTGACACTTCATGTCCACCGAGATTTAGCCAAGTACCATATCACCATCACCGTCACTTCTTAGCGAACGGTGGCTGTTGTTATTGTTGTGCCTGTGGCTTTGTGCTTGTGTTGAAGGCTGCGTGTGCATATGAATGCAGTGCGCTACGAACCCGGCGACCCGAGTTCCATTCCTGCTCACAGCCAACACCAGTGACGATTATCTGAACTGGTCCTGGGCCCCTCCCGTAGGTCAAAATGTAGTACCTGGTGCGATGTGTAAACATCACCACTGGGGAGACAAAGGCGGCCGGACGTGGTGCTGGCCACCCACCTTCCTCGTGTACCGTACCGGCCTTCATAGGTGGCTTCTCGCTTCCAGTATTTGCCCGAATAGTCTGTTAAAAGGCTATAACGGGGGATCTTTGTTTTTATTTTTGCAGTGCCAGACGGTGATAGAAAACTCGCTGGCGGTGGCACAAGCGCTTGCGGATGATGTCGACTTCCACATGTTTCCATTCCACGATTTTGGCAAAGGCCTCATCAAGAAGTGCCGAACGAGCCCCGACGCCTTCATCCAGCTGGCGCTGCAGCTGGCGCACTTCCGGGTGAGATGCCCTTAGATTTGAAGCTTTCGTGACTGCAAGGATTCATATTCTTAGTTTTTTTCCGGTAAAGTCACGTAGGTAAAATTTTTTTATGTATTTTATTTTTATTTTACTTTTATTAATTTAAATTTTTTACCTACGTGACTTTACCGGAAAAAAAACTAAGAATATGAGATGCCCTTACACTGAGATGAGGAACGCTCTGCTCACACGACTTACCCAGGACCACCACCACACCGAGTCTATTGAGGCTTTTTCAGCAGTCTCCTGCATTGAAGTGTTAGGCCAACACGAGTTTAAAGGTAGGTTTTTTTGTTTTTTTTTTAGTTATGGGAGGAAACTGTAGAACCTGGAGGGAATCCATACAGAACAGCGGGGAGAACTTAGAAACACCACACAGAGAGGAGCCAGAATCGGGAGTTGAACTCAGGTTCTTCTCTCTGTTAGGCACGAGTGTTGCCACTGCCGCCACCCTGCCCGGGCGCATGCCTTATGGACATCGGTGGATTTGGATGCAGTAGAGTTGTGAAATGAATTCCTATACCGCCTGGGATATTAGGTGGGCAGAATATGGCTGTGCATCAATCGGGTTTGTGAACTGTGTCCTTGAAATGCGTTCGCAATTAGATGCTACGTAAAGTACACACTTTAATGGTATTAATTGTATTGTATCTTAGAGTTTATCCTCTTGCATATGTGGGGTTTCTTCGGATCCTCCTCACTTCTGTCGGACACGACAAAATCAGAATCAGGACATTTATACTGGAGGAAACAGATGAGCTTTTAAGCTCCTAATAAACTTTTTTTTGGGTTAGATCGCGTTATTTATAAATGTGTCGTAACCCTCCACCACCCGACACGGCCAATCAGTAAAAAAGTGTCACGTTGACAAAAGATAAATAGTTCACTGCTTTAGCCCACCAGTGTGTTGAAGCGTGAAACCACAACATTTACAATTTTTGAGTACGACGTTTCGCTGGTAATTGCATCCAGCATCATCGGGCAATTCTCCAGAATGTAAATGTTGTGGTTTCACTCTTCAACACACCGGTGGGCTAAAGTAGTGAACTATTTGTCTTTTGTCAACGTGACACTTTTTTTTGGCCGATTGGCCGTGTCGGGTGGTGGATGGTTACGACACATTTATAAATCACGCGATCTAAACCCAAAAACGTTGATTATGAATAATATTGGTCGCGAAAGCCTGCTACGTGTTAAACGGAGCTTTTAAGCTCTTTTTTAAATCCTTTATATTAAGTTCACTTGCTTGCTTGCGCGCTTACGACCGTGCAAATCTCTCGGTCATTTTTGAACCCACTTCCCGTGATCCAATCGAGCTGACATTTTGCACACAGACTCGTTGTGCGTGACAATTTATTTTCGTGAAATTTTTTTCCCAAAATTTTACACTTTTTAGGAAAAAATAAATTATATTTAATTACCAATTGCTTAATGGTGGCAGGCAATCATCTGACCCATAGGTGGCAGCCATCTCAAGCCAGAGGACGAGAGGACTCTAGCCGCCACGCATATAAAGGATTTATAGTGAAAAACTTTGTTTTTACGGGTAAATTTTTTCACGATACTTTTTAACGTCGCTTGTTGTTTCATCTGTGTGTATTCGCAGGACAAGGGCTGCTTCTGCCTGACGTACGAGGCGTCCATGACGCGCCTCTTCAAGGAGGGCCGCACGGAGACCGTACGCTCGTGCACGGTGGAGTCAACCAAGTTTGCCCGCGCCATGCAGGACCCCTCTTGCACGGTGCGCCAGAATTTGCCCCCTGCCTCACCCACTCCACCCTGCACTACTATTCTATCCTGCCTCATCCCGCCACCCATCCTTACCCAGCCTGACCCATTCTGCCCTCTCCT